CCCACGTGATAAAACATCCTCCCGCCACGGCCGCCGCCGCCCCGCCGGAACGGACGGCCGCGGCCGCGAGCTCGCCGCTGATTGGCCGCTGCGCCCCGAGAGCTCGCCGCTGATTGGCTTCCGCACACTGAGAGCCCCGCCTTCTCAAGGGAAAGCCACGCCCCGTCAAGAGGGCTGGCCACACCCCCTCCGACTGATCCCGCGCATGCGCCGGAGAGCTGCGCAGGGGAAAGGCGGGGCCTCGAGCACGCGCATGCGCATGGGGTAAGAGCGTCGATGAACCTCCATGGCGTTGAGGGGGCGGGTCCAGAGGAGACGCGCGCCCTGATTGGTCAACCTGGGCGTGATTGACGGGAAGGACGTTGATTGACGGGGCTGGGAGTGATTGACAGGGGGCGATGATTGACGGGGAGGGAGGGGGAACCTGTAAGAGTAGCGGGGGGAGGGGACAAAGAGCCCCTGGACCCCTGGGAGGCACCAGGACCCCCCCCAAGCACTGGGAGCCCCCCGACATTCCCAGGAATCCCTGGGATCCCCCCAACACCCCCAGGAAGCACCGGGACCCCCCCAACCCCCGCAGCACCCCGGGAATCCCCAAGACMCCCCAAATCCACCCCCACAGACACGACTCGCCCCTTCCCTCCTGCTCTTTATTGAGAGAAGACGTGGGGGGGACCAGACCCCATTCTGGGGGGGACGGGGGACGCGYGCACCGCTGACACCCCCCTCCAAGAACAAAGGCACCCGAGCGCTCCCGGAAGCGGCAAATCCCGTGGGATTCCAGGCTCCAGGGGCCGGGAGAACCCCCAGGTCCCTCCAAGACCCCGGAGAAGCACCAGGTCTCTCCAAGACCCCGGAGAAGCTCCCAGGTGTCTCCAGAAGCCTCAGAGAAGCCCCCGGGTCTCTCTAAAGGCTCCAGAAAAGCCCCCAGGTCTCTCCAAGGAGCAAGAGAAGCCCCCAGGTCTCTCCAAAAGCCAGGAGAAGCCCCCAGGTCTCCCCAAAAGCCAGGAGAAGCCCCCGGCTCCCTCGCAAGACCCCAGAGAAGCCCCCAGGTCCCTCCAAGACCCCGGAGAAGCCCCCAGGTGTCTCCAAAAGCCCCAGAGGAGCCCCCAGGTCCCTCCAAGACCCCGGAGAAGCTCCCAGGTGTCTCCAAAAGCCCCAGAGAAGCCCCCAGGTCTCTCCAAGACCCCGGAGAAGCCCCCAGGTTTCCCCAAAAGCCAGGAGAAGCCCCCAGGTCTCTCCAAGACCCTGGAGAAGCTCCCAGGTGTCTCCAGAAGCCTCAGAGAAGCCCCCGGGTCTCTCTAAAGGCTCCAGAAAAGCCCCCAGGTCTCTCCAAGGCCCCAGAGGAGCACCCAGGTCCCTCCAAGACCCCGGAGAAACTCCCAGGTGTCTCCAAAAGCCCCAGAGAAGCCCCCAGGTCTCCCCAAGACCCCGGAGAAGCTCCCAGGTATCTCCAAAAGCCCCAGAGAAGCCCCCAGGTCTCCCCAAGACCCCGGAGCAGCCGCCGGCTCCCTCGCAAGCCCCGCGGAGCAGCCGCCGGCGCGGCGGCGGGCGCTCAGGTGCGGAAGCGGCCGGCCAGCAGCCCGAGGCGGTCGACGTTGCGGTGCAGCACGCTGTGCAGCACGGCCAGGTACTTGGCGGCGTCGGCGTCGCGGGCGAAGTCGCGCGCGAAGAGCCCGCGCTCGGCGCGGAAGGCGAAGCGCTGCGGCAGCGGCCCGTTGTCGCGCACGTACTCCCACACGCTGAGCAGCAGCAGGCGCAGCTCGAAGGGCGCCAGCCGGTGGAAGAGCTCGTGCATGTTGCCCAGCACGGGCGGCAGCAGCGCGCCCTCCGCCATGCAGGCCACGAGGGCGCACGAGGCGTGCAGGTGCCAGGGCGAGCTGGCCGTGTCGCCGTGCCGCGAGGCCTCCCAGTGCGCCAGCAGCGTGGCCAGCAGCCCGCGCAGCAGCGCCGAGCAGTAGCAGAGCGCGGGGCGGCCGGCGGCCACGAGCCGCAGCAGTGGGAAGAGCAGCGGCTGCTGGCGGAAGCGGCGGCAGATGCGCAGGTCGCGCTCCACGGTGCCGCGCGCCTGCTCCTCGGGCGGCCAGCACAGCTCGCCGCCCGCCGCCGGGCACACGCTCTCCACGAGCGCCGCCGCCACCGCCTTGGCCGCCTCGGGGCTCACGGTGGCTGGGGCGGCGT